AACGTGCAGTCTGCATGTTAAGCAACACCACAGCCATCGCCGAAGCTTGGGCTCGTCTGGATCACAAGTTTGACTTGATGTACGCCAAACGTGCTTTCGTGCACTGGTATGTCGGAGAAGGTATGGAGGAAGGTGAATTTTCTGAGGCTCGTGAAGATCTGGCAGCTCTTGAGAAGGATTACGAAGAGGTCGGTGTTGACTCTATCGAGGAAGGCGAAGAAGAGGGGGAGGAATATTAGTTGAAGATAAAGTCCAATCATGTTTTTAAATTTTTATCTACATGTCACTGCCACAGCATTCCATGTCATGAGCGTTATGAAACAATAAATTAGAAATACTCTATCGCTATTGTAATGTGATTATTTTTGGTGTGGCAGCTTATTCATTTGTGGTAGCATAGCACACAATCAGTCTTTGTGGTTATCCCAGTCTGAATTTCTGTTCCATATACCGATGGAACAGAAAGTTCTGAAGAACTGCAGAGTTTTCAATGAAACTTGCTGCATAGATGGTCTGGGATAATAATCAGACCAGATTAGTTTTTTGTTAAAAAACCAAACATATTAAAGCGGATAGTCTACTGCGCACATGCTGGAAGTGAGTCCCATGCGACGATAACAACACATGCTAAAAATGCAAAGGCTCATGGGTGTCTTATATCTGCTTGTTTGAAAACAATGACAAGTTATGGCCATCTGACGCTTGAGCAGGTGATGACTCCCCTGCTTTAATACTAAATTTACATAATTTAACTTTTGGCTTATACAGCTCTATTTTTTTTATTCTACCGGTAACTTTAGTACATGGGTGCTCGGGATTAGGCATTCTAATTGCCTACTTTGCATAATCGTATATCAATGAAACTTGGTACACTGATACTCTAGTGAGTTCAAAACGTACAGAATGGTTACATTTTTATTAGGAAATTTCTATAAAAAAAAAAAGCGCATTTAAATTGTGGCACGGGTGCTGGAATAATCAAGCCTGCAAAACATGTACAATCAAATTTATTTTTTAAGAATATTTTAACTTCGATACTGGGATAACAGATGCTTTTTTATGTTTATCTCAAGTAGAAGACCTACTGGTATATTCCCCAATTTTATTTATTTTATATGCTTGTACGCTTAACCCAGGAGTTCTGTTTTCAAACTTTTTTGGGATTTTACTATCTGGGGTCAATCCAGAATTTCATTTTACCTGGTTTGTGTGCTTTTAATAGGCTCATCCACTATGTCACTCAATACACCTTGGAAAAATACACTGGTCACTCTACATTCCACCCCCACCCCCACGTTTCCAAATGGTTGACCTCCAAGTCAGACCTCGAAGAGTATGCTTTCCAGCCATTTGTGTTGCTTCGCTTACTTACACCATGGAGTTAAGGTAGAAGTCACTCATAAATTAAAAAACCCAGAATTTATTCATTTTGCAATGAATTGTACGCCAAAACAATATAAGGATATTCACCTAAAAAAACTTGGGGGTCACCAGCCTTTTTTTCAAGAAATTGATGGTTGTATTTTCGTGGAAAGTCGCCATTTTGACACTATTATAACACTTTTACCACAGGTTCCTATGGCAGAGATATTATGCAATATCTCAAAATCTAACCTGGTGACATATGCTGAGAAAATCGTATATTGTTAATGATGGAGTACCTTATGTTCTGAATTATTTAAAAAATCTGGGTTTTAGAAAGTGTCAAAACAAGAAATTTTTCTTTAACATTGTGTTCTATGGAATTGTTCTAAAAATAGCAATTTTCAAGAAACATTAGGACATGTTTCTCAAAATGCTTAACTGTAACACACAAAATAATGCTATTTAATTGTACCACAAGACATTAGCTTCATGATTGTACATAATGAACATGAACATTGGTATGCGATTTATGACGAATTTTGTCAAGAATTATGACCAGGCTTCTATCTTAAAATGAATTTTCCTATTTTATTCCTCTATGCATACACAATATGGGAGGGGGTTGCTGAATGCAAATTTACATTTTCTGCAAAGCCTAATCGACCAGCAATGCTCCAGTGTTATTCCATCGACCAATAGAAACCTCTTGTTTGAAATTTATGAAATTCAGGATTTCAAATGACCTTTTACCTACCACCAATGAGATGGCTCTCCTTGACCTGTGAAGATGTACTGATAACACCTTTCAACCATGGGCGTTTATTTTCTTTCCTAAGTACAGTCAGTCCCTCAACACGTGGTACAGTGAACCTGACTGGGTTAGTCTTTCGAATGAATGAAAAAAAGTCACGCATCCTATGTGAATTGTTGTTTATACCTGTTTTTATGCATGTGTCGAAACGGCCGCATCAGACATCTAGGTACATAATTTTGACAACAATCGTACATTCATAGACATTTTTTGAAAAAGAAAATGTATTTTATTTTTCTCAAAAAATCTACCGACCACAGGATTAGTTTAGTAACTTGAATTTTCGCCAGCCCGACTGAATAAAGTTGCCAGTGCCGGGCGTATGGGCGGACAGTAATTTCAAACACTGCAGAAATGCACCTCGTGCTCGGTTCTTGACCTTGACAAGGTCGAACACTTGATACAGAAACATGACATTTAAAGATGAATACAACCTACAGTATAGACGGGTAATTAAAATTAAAACTACCAATAAAATAGCTTACAGTACAGTAAGAATCCTCTCTGTTGCTATGGTAATTTGATGTGCCAGTTTATTTTTTCCGATGTTTTTCTTAATTTCAAATTCTACATCCTATGTCTCAACATTATTGGGCCTTTGAATTATTAGACGGGATGATCTGTAAAATACAAATTATATTTAATCTTGTTGTATTTCTATCAACGCACGTTTATTGAAAAACATTTTAAATTTAAAGATGTTAAACGACGTTTTATTTTATTTGGTCCAGAGAAAAATAACTGAAACACCGAAGTAATTGCGCACTGGCCCATCGAATATAACCGGCCTTGCCTGCAGTTATAATGGTGGCGTTCAAACGCGTCATAATCAGATCACGTGCGTCATTGTTAACCAATAAGAATCGACTACGTCATTCGTAGCTTATAAAATGTCGTGATTATCCGCCCATAATTCAGTTCTTCTCACTGTCAGCCATTATAGTTGACTCGTAGAGCCATCAGTCCAAATTTTATTCGTTTGACGATTCCCCTGTAATCACTTTCAAAATGGTAAGTACTTCTTGTTTCTTTAACACTTTTCTCTGCCAATAGCATCAAATACCTTTTGCAATTATTTTAATTACATTAAGGAAAAATTCGTAAAATTGTCAAGTCATGTGGCGCCAACTGAAGATTTCATTCATTCGACATTGCACTTATCTGCCGGAAACTGAATATCCGGGAAACCTATTCTCGTTTCCTCGACAATATCTGTCCATCCTGTTGCAGAATTATGAAGTACATATTCGATTTGACTTTTCCATTCTCCAGTTTCGTGGCTCGCAATTCCGAATCAATGACATCATGTTAGTTTAGGAGTGGCTGATGTGCTATGAATAGTAATGAAGTCGAAATGAGTCATCGAATTACTCTGGTCGAGAACATTCAGTACATAAATTCGATTTGTTTCTTATTTTTAAAAAAGCAAAGCACATTAGAATTGTTTCTATAAAACATTTAATACTTAGGGCAAATTTTGGTTGAAAAGACTTGCATCGTGGTAACACGCACGTAGCAACAGTGATGAATCCTCTCGTGACAACGGATTCAAGTAATTGTTTTATCTTTATGCTTTTTTGTGTGCACGTCATGACAGAAAAGCAGAAAAGACTGGAAGTCCCAGACGTCATCAAGTCATTAACTGTTAATTTTTTTTTTGAATCTCTGAAGAGCTGTGATTGGCCAGTGTAGATCACTCCGCCCATCATCTGACCTTTGACACTGTGGTGGAATGTTAATGTGTATATCTTTTGAAAGATAATGTTCTGATGTATCTCTATAATTTCAGACTCCTATTAATATTTTATCATGGTTATTAATCATAGTAATGAAAACAAATGACTGGATTCTCAAAATGGATGCTTTAAGATAACCAAAAAAATAATTAGTGAAAGGAAAATTTAATTTAGTTTTCATTCTGTATTTTCAGGGCATATAAATGTTCTAGCTCAGCCAGCTCCACATGAGTGGATATGAAACCGTACGAGTGGATAATAGTTTGAGTATTTTAAAGTTTACAAACACTCAATATAGTTGGAAATAAAGAGATTATAGCAAGATGCCTTCACATTTTTTCTGTAAAAATAACCTAAAATCTAAATCTACTTTCTATTGCAGGGCAAAATATTTTCTTCATTTTAATGTTTGAGCACGTTTTTTTTTTAAATTAGCTTTTTATGCTTTATGTACCAAAAAAATGTTTACCATGTACATTTTTTTTCTCCCAAAATTGTATCTGGAATTTTTGTTAATTTTATATGACCCCCCCCCCCCCCCCCAAGTTTTCAAATGAAGCCCCCACTCATTTCATCCAGGTTAGATATGGGAGTGCATATATAATAAATATGGTTTTAATGATGATATTTGCAATGTGATAACTCTGCCATAACAGCATATTAAATTGTATCTGCTTATCATTTTCAGCGTGAATGTATCTCAGTCCATGTTGGCCAAGCCGGTGTGCAGATGGGCAATGCATGCTGGGAGTTGTACTGTCTGGAACATGGTATCCAACCTGATGGTCAGATGCCAAGTGACAAGACCATTGGAGGTGGTGATGATTCCTTCAATACTTTTTTCAGCGAGACTGGTGCGGGTAAACATGTACCACGTGCTGTGTTTGTAGACTTGGAACCCACTGTAGTCGGTGAGTGCTTGCTGTAGGTTATTTTAACTCAATTTTGTGTCTCATTTCTAGGGGTTTGTTTCATTTTAAACAAATTTTACCTGCTATTTATTTAGCTTTGTGTGGTGCATGGAATTTTATTTTCCAAATTTAATAAAAACCAGACCCCCCCTTAATTCTTTACCTGTGCGTGCTTAGTATCTCGGAAATCAAGGAACTCAAAGAGTAGGTATCTGTCCAAGCTCAAATGGCAAATTAATTTTAATTAAAATTTTGTGTCTCTCTTCTTCAGATGAAGTACGAACTGGTACATACCGCCAACTATTCCATCCTGAACAGCTGATCACTGGTAAAGAAGATGCTGCAAATAACTATGCTCGTGGTCACTACACAATC